GCGCCCTCCCTGTCACGCTGGGCGGAGGGGTACGGGGGGGGGCACGGCGGCAGGGGGTGGCTTTTTTGCCTAGGGCGGCAAAAAAGCCAGAGCTGGCCCTGGCAGCAGGTGTTCTGATCTCTCCTCTGCTCAGTCAGACCTGCTGTGAAAGACCTCTTCACACTCTGTGTGACCCATGGAGCAGGAGCGGCACACTCCCATAGAAGATACAGCAGATCTGATACTGCTTCCCCTGCGTAGGCCCTCTCAGGGCCACTACATTGATTTAGTGACACTAGTGCAACTTTTGGACAATGTTCCTTCTGTAGACAGACTTTGAGGGACATCTCAGACAAACCACTTCTTTAAAATGTAGTTAAGATTGTAAATAAATATCACTTCAATAAAATCATTGTTAGAAAATCATAAAGATAAGACACTGAAGCCAAAGAATTCAAAGTTTAAAGCTCCAATAAATTTCACTAATTTTATACAAATAGAAAATTTGTACTGAATGTCTGCAAACAGCCTAACTCTGACCTGCTATCAGTGTTCATCCCCTCTAGGCAACAAGTATCTGCTTTACTCCCTTACAGGTACCAGACCTTGTGTGCATTTTCAACATAGTTCAGATGTTGTCCCTTCTCCTATTCTCAATACAGATATACACAATAGCTTAACAGTCACATATGGGCCAGTGACTCAGACTTTAGCTTCTCTTCTATATACGTTCTTACACCATGCTCATCACCAGAGTATTGGAATGCCTTTGAGTAGTACATTAAGCCACTTGGCTATACATCTGTCACACGTTGTTTGTTCTCTCATCCTCCCCAGCAGGAAAAGCATGGGTAGTGGAGTGTCTTGTTTTGGTAGGGTTTTACACTTGGTTGTCTCTTTTTAATGCATGTTGCTATGTGTTTGTGTTGGAGAAGGCAAGGTCAAATAAATGTGCTTTGCTTTGAGTGGAAAGTGGTGAGGTTTGTGGTGGTCCTTGCTTTCTGGGGGATCTCACTCCACTGTCTCAGACCAGCCCTTGAGAAAGTTTTGTCTCCAGCACAGACAAGCTTTGCCCTTATTGTACAGAGTTTCGTTGTGCCAGAGGAGTGTAGAAGCAAGAAACTCCAAAATTTCTTCTTCTCTATAGCAGCCTCAGCTGCATGGGCCACCAGAAGCATATTGAACTGGTTCTCTGCTCACTATGCTATGGGCTTGAAGCAGGAATTACTGGGTGATGTTCTATGGCCTGTGTTATGCAGGTCATAGCTGATGATCATAATGGTCCCTTCTGACTTTAAAAATCTATGATATGACATAAAATACCATGTCAGCTTAATGGTCTTATTCCACATTTTCAAGGCATTCATTGGTTTGGGACCAGGATATCTAAAAGATCTCATAAAGCTGTGGGATGAGGACCAGAGTTGACAACTCCATTCCTCTGGCACAATCTAGCTGTCCATTGAAAGGGTAAATTTGTTTGTATAGTAGAGGCAGAGTTTTCTCAGTGGCCTGTTTTTTTTTTAATAAAAAAAAAATGGTGGGACAAGTTTCCACAGGAACCAAGAACCACCTCAAACCTCACGAGCTTCTACACCAAGTGTAAGGTGCACATCTTCCACTTACTTATCTAATATCAACACACAGAATAGTGTATATAACATTTATAAAAGTAAGACACCACACTCCCCAGATGGAAAATTGTGTTAATGAGACCGAGAATGAATCACATGTGACGGATATTAGTCACATTGCATCGTGTGCTTCTGGAAGATAATTGGATGCTACTGTGATGAGGGCAGTATAAGACACTGTATAGTGTAGAATTGAATAAAAAGCGCACACAGTTTTGGTAATTACACTCTAAGATGGACAACCCAATTAACTTCATCCACCAGAAAAACTATGGAGTTGCTGGAAGACACCACTTTACCTTCCTTTTCCAGCTCTTCTGATGCTACACCATTATGATATACCCACGTCCTCTCCTGAAGTTACTTAGAAACTGCATCATAAGACGACTATATTAATTCAGGAAGGACTTCACCCCTTGTGGATGGTTAGCACAAGACCTGTGCATCACCAGAGTCCCAGTTAAGCCCCATTTTGAGGATGTAAATGGCCCTCAACACTTTCGTTGGCCCTCTGCAGGGGGATGAATTTCACACTCCGTTACTAGTGAGGAGTGCACAGCAGGTCGGGATGCAGAGTCAGAGTTAAGGATTTTTGCTATGTGCAGGTGAATGAACTGGGATGATGTGGCTGATCTGGTTAGGTCCTGTGATGGTGTCGCTGGCGGGTTGTCTGAGGGCGAGGACTGGCCTGCCTCCCAAGGCCTGTGAGAGCGAGGGATCGTTGTCCAGGATGGTTGTAGATCACTGATGATGCGTTGGAGAGGTTTTAGCTGAGGACTGTAGGTGATGGCCAGTGGAGTTCTGACAACCCGCCAACCTTAAGCATATTCTCACCAGCAACCACACACCGCACCATAGTAACTCTAACTCAGGAACCAATCCATGCAACAAACCTCAATGCCAACTCTGCCCACATATCTACACCAGCAACACCATCACAGGACCTAACCAGATCAGCTACAACATCACCGGCTCATTCACCTGTACGTCCACCAATGTAATATATGCCATCATGTGCCAGCAATGCCACTCTATGTACATCGGCCAAACTGGACAATCCCTATGTAAAAGGATAAATGGACACAAGTCAGATATTAGGAAAGGCAATATACAAAAACCTGTAGGAGAACAATTCCACCTCCCTGGACACACAATAGCAGATTTAAAGGTAGCCATCCTGCAGCACAAAAACTTCAGGCCAGACTCCAAAGAGAAACTGCTGAACTTCAGTTCATTTGCAAATTTGACACCATCAGCTCAGGATTAAACAAAGACTGTGAATGGCTAGCCAACTACAAAAGCAGTTTCTCCTCCCTTGGTGTTCACACCTCAACTGCTAAAAGAGGGCCTCATCCTCCCTGATTGAACTAACCTCGTTCTCTCTAAACTGATTCTTGCCTGCATATTTATACCTGCCCCTGGAAATTTCCACCACATGCGTCTGATGAAGTGGGTATTCACCCACGAAAGCTTATGCTCCAATACGTCTGTTAGTCTATAAGGTGCCACAGGACACTCTGTCGCTTTTTATAGATCCAGATTAACACGGCTACCCCTCTGATAATTGTAAACAGTATCTTACTTTTTCTTGTCTGGAAATACTTGAGTTTGAAAGCTTAAGTTCCCTTGTGTATCATGTTTAGTGGTAACAATGCTCCTACCTGGGAGTCTAAAAGTGAAAGTCTATACAAGGACTCTTACTTTTTGGAGAAAGTGAATTTACTCTGCTTTAGAGTCTGTTGAATGTAAACACCTCTTCTGGGTCCACATGCCTCCTCTACTCGCTTCCTTCTAAAAGCTGGGATTTTAAGACCTGTTTCTCATTAGATGCTATGGTGTACTATGTTGACTTTAAAATAACTCCAGTTACATGTACTCAATATTTTTAAAGACCGAAATTAATTACAATTTAGGGGGAGTCTTAACTTAGAATTATATGCATGCATAATAATTACTGCTTCTATAGGCTCAAAGGGTATTTTTAGTTTTTTTCACATTCTTAATGTTTTGCTGTAAAACTTCTAACTTTATTATATAACTTTACTATATATTAATCTTAATGCAGCATTTTTGAGTTTTAGATGAATATATTCTGCAAGTGGAATTTATTAATCATGGTGTGAATATATAAACTACCACTTAAATAAATATAGTATTCCATATTAATTCATAGTACGTTTTCACAGATGGCTCCTAAGTACATAAGCTAGAACCTTTGGGTAACTTTGACTTTCAATTCTCTTCTGGGTAGATATGTAAGTGTGTCCTCCCCAGCCCATCCAATTAAGTTAAATTGACTGAAATTTGGAATGTTATTGTGCTTTGCCTATAGAGAAGTATATTGTGGTGACACACATTTGTTCAATTTCTGCACTCCATTATATCAGTGTAATTATTACAGTAGCAACTGAGAGGTGCTAGGCAATGTACAAGCATATAGCAAAAGTACCTTTTCCAAATTGCTTTCGCTCTGAAAAGAGAGTGTGGGGAAAGATGAAACAATGATGCACGAGCAAACTGTGCAAGGTAGTGATTAGTAGATCTCTTGATAGTTTTATGTTGGTTTTTTAATTTGTCTTGTGTGTGTATAATCCTGAACTGAAGTCAGTGGAGTCACTCCTTAGTTACTCTGGGGTAACGGGGGGGGGGGGTAAACTTGGCCCACTGTTTCTAAAATTTTAACACTGACATTGTTTTTCTAGGCCTATCCATGACGCAGTAGAAAATGATCACTTAGAAATTGTCCGCTTGTTACTTTCTTATGGTGCTGATCCAACACTTGCTACCTACTCAGGTAGAACTATTGTGAAAATGACACACAGTGAACTGATGGAAACGTTTCTAACAGGTGAGTAACTCTATACTCTGTCTGCTATTGTGAATGTAATGTGACATTTCCTGTCTCTGCCTCCCAGGCACCAAACAACCAAAGTTTTATTGTTCAATGTAAATAACAATTACTAGAACACACTTAAGTGACTTTATATTTTGCCTACCAAGAAAACACTGAGTAGTAGAAATTAGAAGCATGTCTATGGATACTGTCTCCTTATATGCTATGTGGGATGTATGATATGCTGCCATCAGATTTTATTGTTTGGAGACCAGCTAATTGGACATTGATCAGTGTAGTTTCTATTGGTACATAAAATTTTGCTTGAAACAAAAATAAAATTACCAAATATAGTAGCAGTATGTTAAGTATAATTAATTACAGCTATTGAGGTGATACAGATTTTTACCTTTTAGTGTCGAGCTTTAGAGAATTTTTTTAATTCCCCCTCTTAGTTTTCACGTTTATAAAAGTTCAACCTACCATTTTATTTTTTAAAAAGCTATGATATGAAGGAGTTGAATATGTAAATTGGGTGGGTGAGTGTGGAATCATTTTAATAAATTCACTTTCCCTGTTTATTTTAAGGTAAACACAATTGAAAATCCTTTTGTCATTTCATTGGCTCACAACTGAAAAATATCCTATCCTTTTATTGTTTGTAATGAAGGAGTTTAAGTACTTGTGTATAAAATACAAAATGGCACTATTTGCGGAATGGCTAGTTGCTTTAGGACTGTATTGGAGTCCAATGGATTGGCGTTCCCAAATTAATCCTTATGTACTTCAGTCTTATTCTGGTAAATACCCCAAAATTAAGGCTATAAACAAACTAAATATTGCCTCTGGGTGATGGAACCTTAAGGCTTGTCTTCACTACCGGGGTAAGTCAATCTAAGTTACGCTACTCCAGCTACGTAGCTGAGGTCGTCTTACCCCAGTGTTTCCACTGCACTGTGACGGGAAATGCTCTCCCGTCGACTTACCTTACTCTTCTCAGGAAGTTGAAGTACTGGAGTCGACCAGAGAGCGCTCTGCCATCGATTTAGTGGGTCTTCACTAGGCTTGCTAAATCGACCCCCGCTGCATCGATCGCAGCATCCTGGATCCCTACTGAATACCAGCCCTTAGTGTGAAAACCTTTTCCCTTCTCCTCATGTCTGCTACTTACGTCCCAAATTCCTTATCTTTGAGACTTGTGGCGGATGAAAAGTTTGAACTTTTTCAAGGGTCAGGATTGCATCTCTCAGAAAATTAAGATGCTGCAGTTTAAAGCTCAGGAATCCATGGGTCAAAATCTGTCGCTGCAAAGAGTTGGGTTTTGTTGATGTTTTTGAGTGGGTGAAAGGGACCCACCGGGGCTAGGGGAGAGATGAGAAAAGTGTATTCCAGGAATATTCAGAAGAATGGTATTCTTCATAGTATGTGCATCAAGAATATGTTGTGGATTTTAGATAGGAGGTATGAAATATGCATATTGGAACTCTGGCAAGCTTAGCAGGCAGTGTATCATACAGCTTTCCATTCTGATTAGTTTGTTTTTGTTGTTGTTTCCTTCTCTAGAGTATTTAACTGACCTGCAAGGTCGAAGCGTTGATGACCCTGGTTTGTACTGGGATTTCTATGGCAGCTCTGTGTGCGGTGAGCAAATGTTATCCTTTTTTTTTGTATGTGAAGGAGTTTCAAAACATTATCTAGCATGTGGGTGGGAGGGTGGGTGGGTGGGTGGGTGGAGGGGGGGTGGTTCTTTTGCTATAAGCCAGAGGAAGTTTTGAAGGGAAGTGTCTAGTTTTATTTACTGCATCAGTTACAGGATGATAAAGCAAGATTAGCAATATGCTCCTAATGCTGATTGGACCCGGCCCTTTTCTCCCTCCCCCCCCAACTAGATCCAAAAGATGAATCTGGATTTGACATCCTGGCAAATCCGCCTGGCCCAAGTGATGAGGATGAAGATGGCTTTAGCGATGTGTTTGAATTTGAATTTTCAGATGGGCCTCTCTTGCCATGTTACAACATCCAAGTGTCTCTCTCTCAGGGGTAAGAACTGATATAACTTTATGAAATAATCTATTTGGGGTAGCAGGAGTCAGTGCCTGAATGCTGCTTTTAGAATAGCACAATTTAAACTGTTGTATTTCTGTACAATTATTCATACACAGTGTGCTACTGTGCGAGGTGGTAGGGAAGAAAGCTGATATGTCAGCTCTAGGGTGGAGTTCCAAAAGCGTAAGGGTACGCAAAGAAATTGCAGTCTAAACTTTCTGCGTGTGCTAACTGTATTTGCCACAGTATAAAGTGATTTACAAAATGCTGTTAGCATAGACAACTGGTTTTACAGCCCAGAAAAGAGTGAATTACTGTTTTAACCCAAGACATATCAAACGTCCTCCCACCACCCAAAAAAGGATCTTGACGGTCCCAAAATAACACATTTGCTTCTGGCAGATTAATATTAAGTAATTTAACATTTTATCTTGAAATTTTTCCTTGTGAATTTGCATCTCTTTATCACTTAATAGACACTTCATGAGTGACATGGCAGCGTTACTACAGTTTTAACGCTCCGATGCAAAGCTGGATTTGACCCATGAATAATGCATTGGATCAAACACATCGAGAAATGGCTTATAGCATGTTGGTTGTATACAGATATTGGAACACTGTTCATCACAAGTAGAAACCTGGACTGTTTCAGTTGTGTAGTCGCTCCTGAGTGTGAATTAGCTCAGTAAACAACTGTTCGTAGTTTGCAACAGTTGCATAACTTAAAACTACAGTGTTTCTTCATAACCTATTATCTCTGAAGAGTTTATAAGCCATGTTGGACTAGCTTTTTTGACTGTGGTTAAATGCACATTAATCAAAATTTGACACACACACAAATTGAATTTAATATTTAGTGTTTAATATTAATCTGAAAAATCCACTGTTTTTCCCCATTAATTGCTTCTTGAGAATTCATAGCTGCCCAAGATACTGATTGTTTAACTGTAAGCTAATTCTTGACTGCTAAATAAAAAGCAAGGCTTAATCGTGTAAACATTTACACATGTGAGTAGTGGTCAGTGTGACTATTCGCCACCTGTGTAAAATTATGTACCTCAATTTACGGGGTCAGGGCCTGTCTTGATATATCATACAACCAGCCTGTCACCCAAAAGCCATGGATGACATTAGTATGCGTGTATTTCTGTCTACATGCATCTGGACACTGCTAAATTCTAATTCCACAGCTAGTCTCATTGATGCCTGTGAAAGTGTTTGCAGGAATGTGGTGAGCAGGATTTAACACACAATGTAAAGCTACTGCTTACATAGCCAGGATGATTATAACTTTGTCAATTATTTATTCCCCCCCCCCTTTTTTTTTTTGTTCTGCAGACCGCGAAACTGGCTATTGCTGTCGGACATAGTAAAGAGGCTGAAAATGTCATCCCGCATATTCCGTTGCAACTTCCCTAATGTAGAAGTTGTCACGATCACCGAGGCAGAGTTTTACAAACAGACGTCTTTGAGTCAGTTGTTCTCTTGTGCTAAGGACCTTGAAGCTTTTAATCCGGAAAGCAAGGAACTCTTGGACTTAGTAGAGTTTACAAGTGAACTTCAGACTTTACTTGGCTCTTCACTTGAGTGGTTGCATCCGGATGATGATAATCTCTCTGATATCCATTGGTGAGCCACCAGGCCATTTAATGTATAGTACCATATAAAGTTAATTCTTTATGTATATGTGTTAAAAATGCAATTGTTTCTGTAAAGAAAGGACACTATTAAATATTAAAATATCTTTCCTTTATATAAGAGATTTGAATTCCAGTTTGAACTTTGGAACATTTTTTTTTTTAAGAACTTTAATCAGTTTTTACAAAATTGTTATATAATGTTTCTTTAAATGCACACAGGCTTTGGGATACTTTTGTTTTTACTTGGAACACATTTAAAAAATATAACACACCCACACATTGACTTTGTTTCATACAAAGCACTGATTACACAGAACATACTTTTATAGGTGATGTGATCAAAGTCATGTGGCTTGTTTGGGAGATAGAATTTGGTAAGGCACTTCATGATATTATTTTTGTTTACAGAATTACCTGCTTTGGCCAGGTAAGCACTATTGAATATAATTCAATAGCTTGTAATATAAATTAAAACCATATCCATATACACCAACTAATTGTATGAACTTTTATATCCTAATTTAAAAACTGTGAAATTTAGTTTTCACACATCAAACCGGATTGTTTATATATGTTTAAACATTTTATGCTCTTTATTTAAAGAAGACTTTGAACTATTTTTTCTGTATCTTGTAAAATATTGAAAAACTAACATATGTTGAAGTTGCTTGAAACTGTACATAAACTAAAATTTTCTGAATTGTGTGTTTACGTTTGAGATCTGTGTTTTAACTTTGTAAGTAAATTCTCCTGCCTTTGTATTTATATTTTACAAAAATTTTCTTAAAGGCAATAAAACTGTTGAGAAAATTAAGATGTTGAAATGAGTTTTATTCTCTGCACGATTATAACACGAACTGACTTATTAAAGTTTGTAAAAGGAGGATCTGATCTCATTTCCTGGAGCCAAGCAGGAATGGCGCAGGTGCTGGGAAGCAATTTATAAAATATGATGTGGAATCTATATTAGCCTTCTACTATCAAGGTCAAAAGAAAAATATCTCATGGGCCTTTTACAGGGTCAGACGTTTAAAAACCAGTAGTCTCAAGACTTTCTGGAGTACATTTTAGTTAAAGAACGGTGAATCCATTTAATATGTTTTTTCCACTTGTCATCTTTAAAGTTAGACTGATTGAATTTTTTTCTCAGTGGTTCCTAAGGGGGCGGGAGAGAAAGGATACATGTTCTGTTAGATAATTTCTGTATAGAGGCATCGAGTATGTGAGCACACTGTGGGCATTTTATGTGTGCTCTCCTGTTACATTAGAGACAGCCTTGAACCAAATTCCTGGTTCTAAACTTCATACCTTTATAAAGTGCCTTACCAAAATATCCTGAAACCCAAATTCTTCCAGATCCAGGGGTTTTGGCCTCCAAATGTAGATCTAAACCTTCCTAACTCTCTTGGTCTTTTGATTCAGTGTTCAAGTTTGGTACATTAGAGGAACAGATTCCCACTGTGAACCAGATCCTGAGTTTTGTTTCAGATCCATCTTTAATATTAAAGTGTGCCCTGTGTGAAAACCAAACACTTAAACCTCCTTATTACGTCTGTTTTGCAATATATTGGATGTTATCTCTGACCAGTACTACCATAATGTGCTTAAATAGATTTAGAAGCAGTGCAGTTAGCCAAACAAAGAAAAATGCCTACAGGACTGACATCTAAAGGAACTGTTGAGGGCTGTTATACAAATGTCTGACTTCCTATAGACACAGTAAGGTTTTTATTTTTTCCTGGAGTGTTTTCTATCTTTTGTACTGCTGCACTGTGACACTTCCTCCATTGTATTAAGATTTGGGGAAATACAGCAACGATTCATATCGTGCCATCTGCAAGTTATAACTGAGTGTTTTTCCTGAAAAAGAATATCTAAATTTCTCTAAATGCATGAGGCCCCAAAAGGTCAGAAATGGATCCCTGAGAATACCTCCTGTGCCCTTGAGTGTTCTCCCCAATTGCCGCAGAGCTCAGTGTTAGTCCCAGATGTACAGTGAAGAAGGACTAGTGGCATGCAGGGGTTCTGGCTAGTTCACAGTGTGCAAGTGAAATCTGCTTCGCAGGGCCCATGGGGGTCCATGAGACGCAGTGAAGTTAGTGCAACCTCAGAGATGCCCTAACTGATGCTAGAGGTTGGCTGACTCCTAAAAGGGCTGAGAATACGTGAAGCATTAGGGTTAAAGCCTCTTCTGGCACCTTCCCCCATTGACTCCTCCCCCCAACTAGGAGTAGTGTTACTCATAGTGGGCCAGTTCTGATCTGGGCACCAATTTAAATCTAGACTACCTCCTGTCAGAGGAGTTATGACAATGAGAGATCAGAAATAGGCCCAACACCCACATGTTGTGGGTGGCGGAAAACAAGATGCCGCTAGAAGGTCATAGGATATCTAGCAGAAATGCACTCACTGAAGCAGTTTTACAGTTTTTGCACAAAAGCAAATTACATTTAAAATGCAAGTTCCCCTGTTTAAAAAAAAAAATACACGTCTTAGAGCTCCTCTTTTGAATGCATAGTCTGCAGTTGGATTTTGGAAACAGGCATTTTGCTTTGCTCGGCTGTCTGCTAACAGCTGAAAGTGGCAAGTTCTTGTTCTTAGATGCAGGTTACATTTCTACTCTTGCCCTGGAAATGAGGGTTTGAGCATATACTTGTGTGTAAGTATTAAAAACAAATGTTTCTTGGACCTGTTTGATCAGTTGCTTGCTGATTGGCTGGTGATTTCTGGGTATTTATCAGCTGTATATCTCTTTATGGTGTATTGGCAGAGACCACATCTCTGGGCATGGAGCGTAAAGGAGGGAAATTTCTGTGGGTTTCATGTTCCGTGGGTAAACAGGAAATGGAAGTATATTTCCTTTTCTGAACCACCTCCTTCGGAATCGTCTGAAATGTGCTCAGAATAAATATCTGCCTAGTCAGAACCTTCAGCATCAGCCAATGGGGTCCTTTCACGATGCTCAGTATACACCCATGCCTTGTCCACATCAGAACTTTATTTTCGAATACAGTTAGAAACCTGCACTGTTGTAACAAAGTTTGTGTGCACATTAAGGACCTGTCTATGCTATATAAATACAGCAATGGTAGGGGAGTTCCTTATAACATTTATCCCCTGATGTGGTTTAAAAAAAAATAGTTGTTCTCTTTTATGATGCAGCATGTAGGACTACTTCCTTTCCAAACACCTGCCAGAATGTGCTGTGGTGACCTTGCTGGCCCAGTTGTCTTCGATAAACATCTTTCGGAGGCAGTGGAGCTGCTCTCTAGTTCCGAGTCTGCCCACCTGCTTGTCTGGAATCATGTTGCTCAGAATCTGGCATTGCCCACGACAGTTTCCCTCAATTCCCATCAGTAATTAGTCAGATTCAGCTGCTTACAAACCAGATGGGAACTGTGGTGGTGCCTGTGGCTACTTTTGCTCTCTCAGATCTCTGCGTACGGTTTATTTTGGTTGGTGTTTACTCGGTGACGGCTGAGGAAGTCTAGAAAACACCCTGCTCCAGGCTAGGTGGGGAGTAAGTCTGATCCTGGAAATGGTTCCTAAGAGTGATGAGAGAGAAAGAATCTGAGAAAGGTATCTGGTGGCTTAAAGGTGGTGAAAACGGCCCTTGGGGAGTGCCCTCCATGTAAGGGAGTACCCCCGCAACACAGCTATTGAGGCAATCCTATAGTAGCTCCCAGCGTAGAACTCAGGGCCACAGGAAGCAGAGGGTAAAGTAGAGCAGCCGTGAATCTGCTCTAACTGCAACTAGAGGCCGTGCTGATCCCATAATAGAGAAAGTACTACTCCCCCCCCCCCCTTTCATTTCTGTGCCAAGCACAAGTTGTACTTGAGAACTGATCTGTGGACTAAGCATTAATATGAACTATTCAGTAAGTCAGAGTGAGGTAAATATAGACAGCAGTAGCTCTAGTCCCTTACAGATTCTGTAATACTTGATGAAACGGCCTTTAAACACGAAGATTATTTTGGTTTATAAAAGAAAACTGAAGGCATTACTATTTTTAACTTGTACAATTTAAAGTAGTTTTAAAAATCGTGTCTAAGTTTAAAATTATGTCTGTGACCACTATATTTTTACATCTATGTTGATTCACAGGCAGAAAAGGGGAATTTTTGGTAAAAGATTTGATGCCACAAATATGATATAATTTGATATTTTATTGGAACAGATTTGTATTTACACTATTTCATTTCTACATATTCTGGAGATACACCTATTTTGGGAAGAAATCAGACAGGACACACACATGAGATTGGGTTGGCTCATTAGGGGATGAAAAACACCCCTAACAGATCTAAAATAATTGTTGCATGTAATGCTTCTCCGCCTGTATATATGTGTGTCTGTGTGTGTGTGTGTAATGTTCACTCCTAGGTTAATCATGCTAGTTTTGTATTCCAATCTTTTGTTTGCTTTGTACTGGTTCACTTTGACTGCAGAGTGGAGAGATTGTATCTTCTTGCAAGTGACAACCATGATGAACTGGTACAAGAAGCACTGCCTTTCAACTTTGATTTCACTAAGAACTCTCAAACCTTTTGCTGCTTCTGATGCTTTATACAGCTGCAATTCTTACCCTCATTCTACACGGTACATTTCCTTGTTCTCCTCCCAGCAATGCCTGTGCCTCAGTTTCCCTGATCTGTAAAATGAGAATGATAATGCTTTGTAAAGGGCTTTGGGAATGGTGAAAAGTGCTATACACATGTTAACTCACAGCTGGGTAAATAATGTACTATGGCGTTAGTCTAGATCAGAGGTGGGCAAACTATGGCCTGCAGGCCACATCTGGCCCATGGGACCCTCCTGCCAGGTCCCTAAGCTCCTGGCCCATGAGGCTGGCCCCCAGCCCCTCCCCTGCTGTTCCCCCTCCCCCACAGCCTCAGCATGCTGTGCTGCCGGCGTAATGCTCTGGGCGGCCGGGCAGCGCAACTGCAGAGCCACGGCCTGGCCTGGTGCTCTGTGCTGCATGGTGGCGTGGCTGGCTCCAACGGGGTGGCGCAGCTGTAGTGCCACCAGCCACCGGTGCTCCAGGCAGCATGGTAAGGGGGCAGGGAGCAGGTGGGGTTGGATAGAGGACAGGGGAGTTCGGGGTGGGGAATTGGGGTTTGGGGTGTGGATACGGGTCAGGGTGGTCAGAGGGCAGGGAATGGGGGGGTTGAATGGGTGCAGGGGTTCCAGGGGCAGTCAGGGAGAAGGGGTGGTTGGATGGGGCAGGGGTACCGGATGGGGGGGGGCATTCAGGAATGAGAGGAGGGGTTGGATGGGGCAGCGGGAGCCAGTCGGGTGGGGGCTCCGAGGGGTGGTCGAGGGGGACAGGGATCAGGTGGGGTGGATGGGGCAGGGGTCCTGGGGGGTGGCGGCAGCATCAGGGGGCAAGAAGAGGTGGGGGTCGGATAGGGGGCGGGGGCTGGGCCACGTCTGGCTGTTTGGGGAGGCACAGCCTCCCCTAACCTGCCCTTCATATAATTTCCAAAACCAGATGCAGCCCTCAGGCCAGAAAGTTTGCCCACCCCTGGTCTAGATGTTAACTTTCCCCACCCACACACATACACTCCATGGGATTGAAGTGATGGGAATTGGCTGCTCTCTTTCACCAGGTATGAAGTACAGTTCTGCCACTAAATAGATTTTCCTTTTGTTGTCACATTAATTTGCAACTCATTAATAGTGACAGAAGTGAAGTATTGCACTGATGCAGATTTACATATTCATGAGGAAATTATTAAACAAATAAGATTTTCCTAGCTTAGGAAGCACCCAAAGTAATGCTACACAGTACATTACAGCAGCCTGGATGGTTT